AAAACAAAATTCGGTAAAAAAAAACAAGATATTCAAATTAGTGCTTAGTGGGTCAATTTATCAATGAAGAATCCATTCAGGATCATCAATTCTATTATTCAGGTTTTAAGTCTCGGTAGTATCTATAATTAATAATGGTATGTGTGATCTAAGTCCTGATAGTTTCCGTAGCAAAAAAGATGCATGTGTGATCTAAGATCATGTAGTATCTGTAACAAATAGTGGCGTTTGATCTAAGACCAATATAGTATATGTGAGAAATAATGACATGTGTAATCTAAGGCCAAGTAGTATCAGTGAGAAATAGTGATGTATGATTTAAGACTAGGTAATATCTGTGACAAATATGTAGGGAATTATAGAAGTCATAATTGGGGATCGGTTGAGCCCTTTATTTTTTTCCTTCATTGCTCCACATGACATCTAAAAAATGAAATGAGTCACAACCCTAACTTTAAAATCATCAATGAAAAGGCCAAGTGCACAAACCCATCAATTTCAAGAGACAATACCAAACCACCATCACTTCATAATTAACAAGAACCAAAACACCATCTCCTAATTCATTTGTCAATACATATCAAACATCAAAATTTTAATTTTTACCCCCAATAAATACACTTATATAAGAGTAGATGTTAGATCAGTAATTTCATTTTAGTTCTTACTCAATCTGAAATAATATTTTATGAAGAAAAATTTGACTATTGTTGGCTCTTTTGAAAAAGGACCATTTGCACACATACTACATAAATTTTATGTATTTACATATCTAACACCTAATCATTCATATTTACATGCATACCACTCAAATCCGTATCAACAAATCAAAAATATCATAATGATTACCTTTTTAAAAGTGAAATATACATTTTCATGCGTAGGTTTTTGACACCAAGGTGTCATGAATGCAAAGATCAACCTTTGGGTGTTAGATATGTGAATACATAAGAAATGTGTGGTATGAAATGTGTGGTATGTATGTGTGGTATGTATGCAAATTTTTCAGCTTGGCTCCTCTAGGACTGCTTGTCATGCACATACTGTTGGGTTTTCCCCGAAGTAACCCAAAGTTGGCTCATCCCATTTTGATGTGATGGTAGTCTGAATCTTTTCGAATTGTGATGGCCATAACAGTAGGTATCGATCATGATGTCCTAAAATTTTATCTGTCATGATCGTTCCGTGTCTGGAATCGGCGCCTCATTTCTATCATCCTCTATCGTCACCAAAACTGATCTCACTTATGTTACTTTGTTGGCATGGGCACCTGGTGAAGTAGTAGGTGTTTCTGAATCGTCGATCTACAATCAAATTGCTACAGTCTCTCCAACAACATGTGGTAGGCATTCCACCACCTCGGATCCTGCATCTGGCTTCTGATCAGAAACTCCACTAAACAACTCCTGTTAATTCTAACCCTGTTCTCTTTCTTCAACCATGTCAGAGAATACAACTGGGAATGCCTCTAAGTCACGAGGATCATTTTCTGCACCATCTGATTAGACGCTACATTCTTGCTCTTCCCTTCATCGATGATGAGACTACATATCTTCTCATTTGCAGTGCAACAAGTGTAGAATATATTGTTGTGAAACCATTGCAGATCTCTTGAAGGTGATACACCTGTTGCATTGCAAATGAGAGTTGTGCCAATTCTGAATAATTCTAACCCGGTTTCTCAGTTGCTTCCTCGCTAACATCCTCCATGGTAAAATACATGTCTTGGTTTGTTAGGTAACTGAAGGCAATGTGTCCAAATCCATGACATCAAGGACAAGTTAGACCGAGAATTGTAGTATGCGTGCTCCTGCTGGTGTCTCCAATTGTGGTGGCTTCCGAACAGACTGTGCTTGTTTGCTTTGTTTTTCCTCTCTTCACCTTTAGGGCTAAGGTCTGGACATCTTCGAGTGACCAATAAGGATGCAGCTGCACAACATTGCTGATGGTGGTCTTTAGCACCCCCCCACACCCAAAATAATGGGCTATGATGTGTTATTCTGGCTTGATCAACTCACACTTCATTTGCAACTACTCGAACTGCGCCATGAACTCGTCCACTGATTGGTCTCTCTGCACAGGTGGTAGAGCCTCAAAAACATATTATGGAGGTAACGAGGTGGTAGATACTTTCTCTGCATATCTTTTCTAACTTGGTAATCTTATCACTGTCTTCTCTCTTTGTTTACCTCTGCAAGTTTTCCCACCACAGGAAGGCTGCTAGTTGTACTCGTTTATCTTCTGACACTTTTTTATACTCAAAGATTCACTCAATATATTGCAACCAATCGTTAAAGTCGTCTGGATTCATACCTCCATTGAATTATGATAAATCCACTTTGATGTTGAAATCCTTTTGTCCTCCATATGTGGCTTCCTTTCTGGCCTCTTTCGATACTAAATTTCAAAGCGACGGGGCCTGCTTTTTCTCGTTCCGGAATTCATCTCTATGGAAGGGATTCAAATCCTTGTCTATTTCTCTCATTCTAGTCTGCATGATGCGATCGAGGGTAACTTCCTCTGGGTTCCATCATCAATCTCTGCAAGCCTCTGTTGAAGACGATAGAACTCTCTCTTAATGTCTTCCCGAGTAGACTTAGGCTTGTATCTCCTTTGTGACATTGTTAGTGTTTAGGATTTATTGGAATAGAAAGGGTAATTGGTGATGGGAAAAAAATTTTTTTGGCGGAGATGGCTTGGCTATGACAGATGCTAGGAAAACTTAGGATAATTATTATTGTTGAAATTCAAACAGTTACAACGAAGACTATTCAAATCAGGAAATAAACAACAAACAAACACAAACAATCCCCTTGAGTGAGGATGAGGGTGGTGAACACCGGCTGGACAACAACATACTTGTATTTAAAGGAGGTTGTTTGTCTTCATGGGATATCCAGGAGCATCACTACAGACGAAGATGTGAAATTTCTCAGTCACTTTTAGAGGATTTTATGGGATAATTTAAGTACAAAACTCCAGTTCTTTTCAATAGCTCACCATCAAATAGATGGGCAGATAGAGGTTGTAAATTGCAGTTTGGGAGTTTTTCTTAGATGTTTTGTGGGGAAAAACTTCAAGATGTGGGACTTAACTCTTTTTTAGTTGGAGTTTACCTATAATCGCTGTACTAATCAGTCCACAATTCACAGGCCCTTTGAGATTGTGTACAAGCATAACCCACTTACTCCATTGTTGCTAGTTGCGCTACTGTCAACCATTGAGTTTAGCACTGATGCCGAGGTTCAAGTCATGGAGATTTTAGATCCTACATGAACATGTTAGGAACATAACACTAACAATCAAAAGTAGGCAAACAAGTCCAAGAAGACCACATGGTAGGGATCAAGCTGAAAAATGAGTCATTTCTTGCCTGTTCTTTTAGAAAGGTCGAGTATGGAGATGATGGTCTCTTTAGAATTGCTAAAAAGATTAGTGATAATGCTTACAAGATTGGCATACCAGAGGATTATTGTACTTGCCAACAAACTTTGAGGGCCTAGATGCCTCCGGAAGCAAGGGCAAAGACCCTCCTACCCGGGGAGAGTGATGCGGAACACAATTTCTCGCGATATCGCGGGGAGCCCAACCAATCGAATTGATCGCCATTTTTGATTTAATTTTATTTCATGTCCTTTATTTTCAGCAACTTTTCTTTTGTTTATTTCCTTCCTTATCCTTTTCTATTTATTTATTTTCTAAATACGTTATTCTCTCTTAGGGGGCCTAAATATAGTTGTAGTTTGGTTTTGGAGTTTTCAGCCTTTTGTTTATTTCCTTCCTTATCCTTCTCTATTTATTTATTTTCTAATTACGTTATTCTCTCTTAGGGGGCTTAAATATAGTTGTAGTTTGGTTTTGGAGTTTTCAGCTTAGGTTTTAGGTATTTTTGGAGTTATTCTCTGGTTTTCTTCTCTCCGGAATGTTGTCACCTCTTCATTTCGCAAGTGTTGTGTATGTAGCATGCCTAGGAACATGCGTTGGATTCCCTTGACGTCCGTACGTCACATATTCGCCGTTCAAATGCTGCTTACAGCAGGGACAGCCACCGAGCGCCTTTAATCTGCCGCCCAACAGCTGGTCTCACCCCTTTCTCCCTCCCTCCTACATGCTGCCTATTCACTGTTTCCTGCTGGACAACTTTCAAGGGCGCAGTCTCCTGCTGTTGAAAGCAGGAATCTGCACTTCTCTGCGCCAGATTCGCTGTCCAAACCGTTAGTTTTGCCAATTATCAGCTTCCTTCCATCCTCCCATGTCCAGTATCAATCCTGCAACCTCTCCCAACACCTTTTGTACTTTATCACACTGTCTAAGGGCTCTAGAACGGTATTAAATTTGCTTTTAACCAAATAGAAGGAAGCTTCTTATACAGGGCATGGATTGTCTGTTTGCTTAGTTTCTATGAGGTTTTGTACTGGTCTGAATAGGAATTAATGTTGTTGCTTTTCTGATGAGTAGAGGAAGTTGAAGTTTTAAGCAATGGAAAGAATGCCCCTTTATTCGCAATGATCGGAGAGAAATTCATGTGCATATTATTAATAATAAATTATAAGATAGTAACTTTTATCTATGCCAAATTCTCTAAATTTTTTTGATTATTTTGTTAAATTAACTTCATAAAAAATTCTTTAGTTTACGAAGTAGTGCTATGTGAAACCATTGAAGCTGCAAGTAAACTTTTGTAATAGTGGATAATCCATGTAATGTACTCACATTTGATTGGTAAATATTGCTTCTAATGTAATAACCATCTTTAGGCAAATATTACTCAGGTACCATGCGCTGCCATAATTTTATCATAATCTTGAATTAGATATTTTGTTAGTTAAAAATTAGTTTTTCATTATTTCCAAAAGCGCGCACACACACACATGTTGTCTGTATATGTTATGAATGCATCTAGTTCATGTTTAACCCAACAATAACATTTGAAGTTATGCCTTTATTTTTTATATATTTGATGAACTTTGCTTTTTAATATTCATTTTTTGTTCACTCAGGCATCCACTATGAGAAGTTCCAATAGTTTTCGCACTTCTGGTCATATGTACCATGAGCGAGTGGATGAACGAAGAAGTAATGGTGGTGGAGGACGTCGCCAAGAAAGAGGGGACAGCAGGAGATCTACAAGCGAGAAGTATGCATTTGGTAGTGAAAAGAAACTTAGACAACATGAACATCCTCCAAGAACGCCAGGTCTTCAAATTGAACCTACATTTAATGCACAAAGTGATTTAATTTGAATAATTTAGGACTGAGATTTGTTTCTGTGCGTGCTCTTAACAAGTCATGTTTATGCTCGATTTTGCAGGTGGATTTGATTGGGATTATGAAAGACATGAATGGGAGGATACACCTACTAGGGAAAATAGAGATAGGTATTCTGTCTCTCATAGGTCACGTTATGCATCACGATCTCCGATGCTAGTTGGTGCTTCTCCCGACGCACGTTTGGTTTCCCCTTATTTGGGCGGACAAACACCCCGGTTTGCAGGTATGGAATGTTGGAGTTAACAATCCTTAATCTATTCAGAAAACTTGGTTTCTATGTTTAGCTGTCCACTCTCTATGCTTTCTAATTAAGACATTGATTAAGGTGTGACTTCACCATGGGATTCTGTTGCACCTTCCCCAGAGCCCATACGGGCCTCTGGCAGGTCCTCTAGAAGATCTTCAGGCTCTCGCGAAGTTGAAAGGTCACATCAGCTCACCTTTTCAGTTGCATCAAATTCAGAGGTAGCTTTCAAAAGTTTAAGTTTGCATCCTAATTCAATTTATATTTATAAGCTTGAGTCACATCATCCTTCTTTTTTCTCCCATAATATGTATGTCTTCATTTGTAACTGTGTTACTCCGAGAGATCAACATCATGCATTTTGTTTGCCTTTAGGCTTTCAAAATGTTTAAGGTTGCCATATCGTTTCATATCGTTTATTTTCCTTGTACGAGTTAATGAATGTAGAAAGTGTTCGCATTGATGAAAGCAATTTTTATTATGTGATGCCTGGGATAATAAATTGATGATCAAATAGTATTGTCGTTAATTTTAGTAATTCATTTGGCCTGATTTATATTTTCTGGTGAAGTTGGTAGCAGAAGTGGAAAACTCATGCTGCATGTCTAAACTGTAGAATGATTCTATGAACTTCATAACACTAGAATTTCCATTCCATTTGTTTGTTGGGACATTTACATACATAGCACACAATTCTTATGTATTTACATATCTCACACCTAAACTTTCATATTTACACTCATAGCACATAAATCTTTAATATCGCCTAAAAAATAGTACTACTACCAATTTTAAAAGGCACATGCACAATTTCATGCATAAGTTTAAAGCATCAAAGTGCTATGCATGTAAATATGGAAGTTTGGGTGTGAGATATATAAATGCATAAGAATTCTGTGCCAGGCCTTAATTTCTGCAAATTTAATATACTTTTTTTCCTCTTTTGTATTCAATATGATTAGGATTTGGAAATTAAGTGAAAATGCTTGTTCCCGTGGCCCAACAACCGGCTTAACTATGAACTGGTCCTCTGGCCAATTTTGGTCCAGGTTGAAAATCGAGTTCACATAAACTGGCCATAACTGATGGTGAACCGATGAATTAGTCCCTTTTTGATGAATTTTCTAATGTTGATCAATTTTTTACTTTTTGAATCTCTCCTCACAGACTTGCTTATTCCATTTTCTAATATTTATTGCTGTTTTTTTTTTAATTTTTTGTATTTAAGTTTCCAGTTTTGCTTGACAATTTTCTTATGTCATGCTAGATTGATGATAATGAGAGAAGTTCTTTAGCTACAGACCAAAGTTATGAGATGACAGAGGAGATGTTGTACGAGATGGATTACAATGCTGATCGTGAATGGTATCCAGTTCAGTTTAACGAGGAACTTATTTACTTATTCCGTCATCTTTTGTTTTTTTATGGCCTTAGATTTCATTTCTATAATATGATACATTTGTATCATTTCTAACTATAGCCAAGTGGTTTAAAGTCTTAATTTTTAATATGGATCTACGACTCATTACATCAGAATTTAATTTTTCCTTCAACAATCCTAATTTAGAAATCATGTAGATGTTGTGCCTGTTCTCAATATTTCATTATGTGATTGTTTTACGATCCTTATCATGCTTCTAAATTGACCAATATATATATATATATATATATATATCCTCGTTCTCGCTCTGCTAGGGTTTCGCCTCACGGTGAACCCTAGATTCTGCTACGTCATTTTTTCGCTCCTCTGTTTTTGAAAAGCTTCGTCGAGCTGCTCGCGGCCCCGATCGCGGTTCGTCGAGCTTCGTCATCTCTTTCGCAAGCTTCGACGACGTTGATTGCGCACTCGTAGACGACCACGCTTTTGTCGTCTGCTTCTGCGGCGTCTTCGTGCCACTTTCTACGCGTTGTCGTCTTGCGGTCAAGTTGCGATAGTTCTGCGCAATCGACAACATTCCTCTTGTGCGCAGCTTTGCTCCAGACGAACCGAGCCCGACAACGCCAACAACTTCCTCGCTTATCTTGTGAAGGAGATGGCCTCGACGCTCCGTTCTTATGCAAATGCCCTTACCGACGACTTGTCTATTCCTGCTCGTGCCCCTGCTCCAGGTTCAGAGTCTGCTTTTGCTATCGGTAAGTCCTGCAATGTTCCATAATCGTACCACGAGGCTATTGAAGGTGGCAGTGATCACACTTTTATTAAAAAACTTGGAAAAAAAAATGGGAAGTCTGCACTTATTCTCACTGAGGTTGAAACTGGTACTCTAGCGTCCTCTTGGCGTTTTGCTCTTGTGGGGAAATTCCTTTATGGTCTTCCAAAATTAGAGATCATTAGAAAAGAATTTGATGCTATGAAATTATTGGGCAGTTGGAACTTTGGTCTGCTAGATGGTCTATACTTATTCAGCTATCTCACGATGCCGATTACACTCGCATTTTCTCTCAAAAAATTATCAAGATCGACAATCGTTTTATAAAAATTCTGAAGTGGACTATCGGTTTTGATCCAAAAATGGAGTCCTCTATCATTCCAATTTGGATAAAGTTTTCGAGGTTAAAATTACATTTGTTCAACATGTAAATCCTCTATTCTTTAGCAACTGCTTACGGTAAGCCTCTCAAGGTGGATAGTTCTAATCTTTCTGTCACCAGATCATCTGTATTTGTGTTAGTTGAGAGAGATATCACTGAACCAGCTCCGGATGAGATATGAATTGTCACTATTCACAACGGGTATTGACAAAAGATTGAGATAGAACCACATTCTCCTTATTGCTCTTATTGTAGTATGCTTGACCACAGTTCTTCTATTTGCTATCGCTTGCATCCTCATCTAAGACCGAATGTCGCTAAAGATCAGCCATCTACTATCTTTGCTGAGAAGGTCCAATCCACGAGAGTGCTGCTTTGACCCGATAGAACACCTTACTACAAGTACAGATCCAAATGTGTTGATACCACTTTCTGTTATTGAAGAAAAAGACCCACTTACACGTCAAGACACGAGAGTGCTGCTTCGACCCGATAGAAGATCAACTGGTACAACAAGTAGTTGTTTCTAATGCTCAACAACCTGCACATATCCTGCACACTTCAGACCATTCTGCTGATCAGGCGAGTCAATCTTCGGATGAGGAATGACAGGTCTATTTGAGGAGGAAGAAAAAGAATGGAGGACGACTCGAGCTAGGGAATCTATTGGATGATACATTGGTTACTACTGACAATGATACTCATATGACCAATTTATTAGCTGACTCCTTCCCTAGAGTTAGAGGCAGAGGCAAGGCAAAATCGGGTCGCTCTTCGACTACTTGATTTTCTAATTTTGACACTTTTTAGTTTTTTATTTAGATTTCTTATGTATTTTGTTGTATTTTCTCTTTTATTTGGAGCCATTTAATTTGGTGGTTTTGTGTGGGCTGAGTGCCATGTTTGGGACCTTCTACAAAATCTATGTGTACAGCCTTTGGGAAAAAAAAAATAATAAATATCTGTGTGTGTGTGTGTGTGTGTGTGTGTGTGTGTTGGGGGGGGGGGGGGGGAGGGGGGGGGGG